TCTGCCTGTGTGTGGTACATTCATTGCTCACTTCCAGGAAGTGCATATACTGCCTTTTTTTTTTTTAATTAGAAGAAATATTCTTCCTCTCCTTTCAAAGACCCTTTAGGCAACCAGTGTTAACAATTTCTTTTGAATCCTTCCAGAAAATATCCATGCATAAAATAATCCAATCCTAATAGCAGTGAACTTTTGTAAGTGGTTATTTCACATGCATTATCTCATTTAATCCTTCCTCAAGCCCTATTATCATCCACATATTGTGGATGAAGAAACTGAGACTTAGAAACGTTAGGTAAGTGACTTACCAAAGGCCACAGAGATAGTAAGAACAAAACTAAAACTTGAGCCCAGCACTCTACCTCCTGAACCCTTCTATGAGAGTGTGTGTGGGGTGTGTGTATATATGTGAATGCATTTTCTTTTTTAATGCAGATGAAAGCATGTTTCACATACTGTTTTGCTCCTTGCTTTTTTTCACTTAGCATTATACCTTAAAGATTGCTCCCTATCAGCACACCCAAATATTACTATTTGATAGGAAAATATTTTATTTCCAGTGTCAAAATTAAAAGGCCATCACCTTTATGAATCCAAAGAATGCAGACCCAAGTCCTAACAATACCAAATCAGATCCAACCTGAAAGATCTTTGTTTAATACTCAGTAGGATAAAATCTAGGAATTGGGTGGTATAACAAAAGCAATGAAAATAAGTGAAATGAAGTCTGCTTTTTAATACTCCAGCATTTTCCCCTTCTTTTTCTTATTCCTTCCTCAAATTTCCAAAGTCATGATTTTTTTATGACAGTGAACACCAGTTGTAGAGGTTGATTCGATACAGAGATCACCCAGGTGGTTCTGCTGAGTGGATTCTGGGAATCTTCAGAAATCAGCTGCTCTCTGATCTGACCCATTCTGGATCAGTGTGGTTCATTCTCCTGCCTGTAATTTATTCTGACCCCGTGTGTTTTTGCCTCCCACATCTGTCTGAGGACAGATGTTAATGCAGTAGCAAGGTCTGGTTGCATGTTTGTGCCATGTGCTTCCACCCCTGGTTCCCAAGTAGTGCTAAATATCAGTACTAGTGACAAAGCGTCAGGATTGCACTTTCTTAACCTAGCGTTGGGCAGAATGTCATAACTACACACAGCTTTTGGGGGATAAAAGCTGTGGTTGCCAGAAGACACATCAGTAGTCAAATATAGCCTTTTATTTATTTTAGTTGAAAATTCTAAATTATTAGAAAAATCTCATCAGAGAGCCCCCATTTTTCTTTAGCATAGCTTAGTATAACATACCAATAAAGTTATATTCTTACTCTGGTGGAAAACTCTGCTTGGTGTTAGTTATAGAGAAAAACTGCCTACTGCTTAGTTTATGAGCTTACCTTTTGTATAGAGAGATATACAGTTTTTTAAATGGTCATTAAAAAAATAGTATATATGTTTTCTGAGCATAAATATGTTGTGAAATTTTTTTTAAACTGAATTGCTTTGCCTTTGTATCTTTATTTCCTCTTTTATGGATTATAAATGCTTAAGAAGAAGCTGAATAGCTTGAAACTTTCACTCTTGGGAGCCAGTAGCTACATGCATATGAAATATTCCATCTGCTCCCAGTCCTACACAACCACTAATCTATTTTCTGTCTCTGTTGATGTGTCCGTTCTGGACATTTCATGTAAATGGAATCATATAATACGTGGTCTTTGCATCTTTTCTTTCACTTAACATAATGTTTCAAGGCTCATCCGTGTTGTAACATGTACCAGTACTTCACTCCTTTTTATTGCCTCAAGTGGTTTGATACCCTATTTTTATGTTTGTTGAATATTGGCAAAACATTAGGCACAAAATAAATAAGCAGCTCTTGAAAATTCAAATACAGGACCTTCTTTGAAGTTTATAGCATCTCCTTTTGTCCCATGGAGTTTCCAGTGCTACAGTTTGATAGTCCTCCAGATAGAATCTTGTTAAGAGTTAAATAACCGATTAATCTCTGGGGAGTTTTCAAATCCTTACAAGAAATTTAATCTAGAGGGTTTTTTTGTTTTTCAGGTAAAGAGAAGTTTCTTGTTGGATAAATTTGTTACTAAAACTGACTTGCTTATTGTATCTGAGACCTGCCACCTAATTATGGTCCTGGAAGAGTTGTCAGCAAGAGCCATTTTCAACCTCTTAGAATAATATAATTAACAAGCAAACTAGAGGTGACCTTAGAGATTCCATGATACCACCACCTAATTTTACAGATGAAAAATCTGAAGGGTGGAGAGGTTAAGCTGCTTGTCCAAGGCCACATGGCTTAATTAACTTGCTTAACACCACATGTTTTTATAGAGGGGATTTTGCATTTTGGAGTCAGTTCTGGGAAGTAGCGAACAGGTGTATATAAATTAATGGTCCTGATAATTTTTGCCTTGTTTTTCCATAGGCATTGTTGGCATCTGAACCTAAGAAAGGTAAAATGGATTTATTGAAAATAACAATGAAAGAGTTAATCTCTTTGGCTGGGCCTACAGATGACTCACAGAGCACAGTCCCCAAGGTAATAATGGAAATCTACAACCCTGCTAGGAAGTCAGTGGTTTTAAATCTTTGCTGTACTTTAAAAAAATATGTAATCTGCTCAAGATACCGAACTCTTGAAGATAAGACAAACATTGAAGGTTTTTTGGATGAGTTTTGCTTTGGTTTGGGTTTTGGGGCCACAAAATAAACCATTGCTTTAGTTGATATATATTGACCAAAGTGATCTATTTTTAAACTCTAGTGAAAACAGTCAATTTAGGCAAGATATTTTATAATATTACTATTGTATCTAAAAATGAATGTGCTGTCACTTTAAAATTTTATGTGTGCTGCTTTGAGTTGTTGTATATTTTATAATTCAGCAGTTCAATCTGTCCCTAAAATGGAGTGTCTGACTTCTGATATGTTCACATTTTGATTTTAGCTAATACTTTGTCCCTTTTAGTCACTGCTAACATTGGTTTAAGTATATA